CAACAGCGAACATGGGCACAACCAACCGCTTGACGAGTGAGGGTCACCACGTTAGAACATGGAGGAAGTGGGAAGGTCTACGTGGGACACGTGGTACCATTAACTATTGAACACGTGCATAGCAATAGGTGCCTATAAATACCTCCAAGATGAGAAAGGTATGGACTCTTGGAACCTGAACTACTTGAACTCTCAATATACTTTCTTCTTACTTTCTTTAAGCACCTAATGATTCTTACACTGGAGGTACAAAGGGGGAGAAAGCCCCGACCTCACTCTGCAGGTAACATTTGTTGATTGGAGCAACCGGAACACCCCATACGTTATCGTTGCCGTGGAGGTAAATTTTGTGATTATTTCAGTTTTAATCACATTTTCCTAAAAATCATTATTCAAAACATTGTTTTTTGAAAATATGGCCACCAAACAAGGACTATAACATGAAAGAATGAACACATTCTCCTAAAAATCACTATTCAAAACATCGTTTTTTTTTTAAATAATAGCCACCAAACAAGAGCTATAACTTGAAAAAAATGAAAACACGAACAATTGTATGCTCCATGATTTAAATCACAAAGTTAGGCAAGATTTTGAAAACAAAATTACGTTAGTTATGATTGAGTTAGTTAGGATTTCAAGTTTGTCACACCTTTTAAAGTTTGATTCGACCCATTTTGTTGTAGCTGAAATTGAGTCGATATTTTCGAACTGTCAATGATGTTAAATACTTGTTAGAGTTTAGCGTCTTGAAATTGTTGATAGTGTAACAACTACCTTTGAGCTTCGAAAACGTAGTTGAAATTTAGTCCGATCGAACCAATTTGGAGGACATATGCTTTATAGAGTTAATTAAATCACTACCTACTAAATTTTACACATGATTACTACTTGCTCACTGAAATATAAAAGGTTATTCAATACTCACCGAAGTATTCATTAGTTTACCCCATCAATCACTGAAGCTAATTCCGTCTCTACAGCTGAACAAAAGTGTCTATGGGGCGGATGATATGACAAACGAAATATACACGTCATTTAAAAATAGCCAAACAAGAATTAATTTTTGTAAATAGCCAAAGAGGGTTCACGTGTGGCTTCTCCAATTTCACCCAAATTGAAAATCGAATCAGTCCATCGAAACTGAAATCACCGTCGATTGCCGAAACTGATAATCGCTGTCCACCGAAATCGATCCTCCCCAAATTGCACTCCTCCCCAATTCCAATCCTTGGTAAGAAAACAAAAGAAAAGAAGGAGACAAGCAGAGGAAGATGTCATCACCTATGTCGAATTGAAGGGTAAGCTGAAGAAGAGAGGTATAACAGTAATTACTTGTACTGTTTGCGGAGGAACATGCCACAACATGAGGTATCATCAAAAGGTTGACTCGGTACATGAGGTTTGTTTAGAGTTCAAAGACGGTGTTTATTTCATTTTCTTGTTCAACTAATATGGTAAATAGAAACACTATCTGTGCTCATTTCAGGCTTGGTATGAGAGTGTTATAAATCCTTCAAATGAAGAGAGGTCAAACCACATTGTGAACGATAACTCACGAGTAATCGAAACTAAGCAAATATTTTCTCAAATTATTAAAACATTTTCCTTTGGTTAAATGATATCTAAGATTCTTTTCAGGTCAAACTAGTGCCTAGAAGGCCACCGAGCAATACATCAATTGAATTGCAACCATCAACACCAAAATTCAATTTCCAATTCATGCCTACAACTGGCATTGGTATAACAAGTGCTTCCCAATTCAACAACTATGGTCATCCACTTAATCAGTCAGGTAGTTCAACAATGGATGAAGCTCCTTCGCATATGCAAACTACAAGTATTCCACTTGAATCCTTGGTGGAGGATTTACAGGATATAGAGAACCAAGAAAAAGTAAGAAAGAGGGCAGCCATGATAAAAAAATAAAAGGGTCGTTCGAGGGTCAATTGCATTTGCACCACCAAAAACGAAGAAAAATTCAGTCACTCAGTAGCAGCTCAACAGACTTCAAGAGCTACCTATTGGTTTAGCTTGTAATTTGACAGTTGTGAAGTACTTTTGTCATTAAGGATACTGACATTGTTTTGTTCATTTTTGTGTAAAGTTGCTAGAAATGATCATTTTGTAGTACTCATGATTATCAAACATGATCTTTTTGAAATAGACATAAATCTTTTTGCATAAAAATAGGTGATTATATTGAGAATATTAACTAAGACATCTGTTCACAGTTTGATCTTCCAACCTCTTACTGGTAGTTTCTTATTGCTTGAAATTTCAGCAATAGTTTATCTTACTGGTAGTCTCTTATCTTCTCATCTCGTAATAACTTGTAATGTATTGCTATGTTTGGAAGGTGAAATAATTTCCTCTTGTAATAGCTAGTAACGTATTGCGTTAAATGGAGGGGAGTGGGTAGATCCAAACAGAACAATAAACAGGGAGAAACAAATTGATTCGATTAAAAATGAACAAGTGACGATGACTTGTAAATGATGAAGAATTACGTATAATGCATGTTTAGTCATATCAGTACTATATTAAAAGAAAGGATGACCAAATCACTGAAAAATACAAATGAGAAGTTTTTTTACAATTTTTTTCTCTTTGGTTTTTTTAGAGGATTTCGATAACCATATAAAAAGATGGATGAGTATTGAAGATAGTGTTCTTACTAGGATTGGATTAGAATTGGGGATTTCACTGTAATTGAAATGGGGGTTGCGTTTTGAAGGGATGAGGATAGCACGCTTTCTTCAATTAGTAGCATTTTTATCCAACGTGTGGTTAATTAACGTCGTGTATTGCCACGTAATTTTTCCATCCGCCACGTAGACATTTTTAGAGACGGAATTAGCTACAGTGATTGATGGGTTAACTAATGAATAGTTCAGTGAGCATTGAGTAACTTTTTATATTTTAGTGATCAAATAGTAAACTCGTATAAAGTTCAGTAGGTAGTGATTTAATTAACTCATGCTTTATACGTATATACCTCACATTTATAGTAGTCACATACCCGTCTTCGTATCTTATACTCCCTTTCACCCACCCCCACTCCCGCAAGAGAATAATGGGGAAAATATATAAATCAGGGAGGCAAATTCCCATTCCAATTCTTCAGTCTCTTTCTTTTTCCCTGTGCAAGATTACAAAAAACGCAAACACAGTGTGAACTCATCTGCTGCAGGTGGTTACTTCCTTCAGAAGGTTCCATTTCTATCACGCAAGGAAAAAAAACAAAGAGGAAATTATACGTGTTACAAATTAATAATGAATCATTCGTCAGCAACAAAACTCCGCACCGATATAACAAGAAAATGCAAAACCATAAACCATCTATGCATGCATATGCAGAAATGCGGCGTTATAACTTTGAGCATAGAAGCAGAGAAGAATAACAAGAATGGTCCTTGTTTCCTGAAGTTGTGTTCTTCCATTTCCTTGTAAATTTTACTTCTTCTTCTTGTCCTCTCTATGTCTCTATCTTGAGTTGTTCGTGTTTTGACAGTGAAACTGTGAAAGCTCTCTTTTTTCTGGAAGTTTTGTATTTTTTTAACTATTTCTGGACTTTATAATTTTTATCTGGCTATATTTGGTGAATTTTCCGTTGCTCGATTGCAGGGATGCATTGTAACTGTAACTAATGTTTGGATTTTTGGATAATAATTTGGTGGGTGACTTGAAAATTGTGCAATTTTTTAAGGATTTTGTGATGGATTTGTGAGATTCTTCTTTTTTGTCGTTGTATAACTCTGCAGGGATGGCTGAAAATTGGGTTAATTTGCAGATTCTGAGGTGGGTCTGGCATTTTTAGTTTTTTCGGATGTTTGGTGACAACAGGATTTTTATCGGTGAAATCATCGGTGGTCGGAAGATATTTGGGGTTTCTGGAGGGTTTATACAGGAAATTTTACTGATAGAATCTTGGGTTGGTCTATTGAGATTTATGCTGCTCTTTGCATTTTCAACGGTGGTTTGAGTATGAAATTGAGTGATATTTGTATTTTCGAGGGCATTTTATTGGAAAAGGAGGATTGACTTTAGCCTCTCTTGTACCTGCATGGTGTTTAATTATTAGGGTTTACACTTGGAAGAGTTTTTTTATTTTTTATTTTTGCTGTCAAAAAATGAGCTCCCATGCTTCAGAAGGTGTAGTTCTTACGGGAAACCTCGTGGTTCATATTGCTGAGAATGGTCACTCATATGAGCTCAACTGTGATGAATATACCAGTGTTGAGGCTGTGCAGAAGTACCTACAATCTGTTTCCGGGATACCATTTCAAGATCAGCTGCTTATGTGCTTGAACATGAAGATGGAATTGCAATGCCGACTCTCAGATTATAAACTCCCATCCAATGATCGAGAAGTATTCTTGTTTAATAAGGCAAGGATGCGGACTGGCTCACCACCTCCTGCACCAGAGCAAGTTGAAATTATTGATATTCCTGATCCTCCATTGCCATCCTCATCTCATAACCCTCATCCGATGGATGATGCTACTGACCCAGCTTTAAAGGCCTTGCCTTCGTATGAGAGGCAATTTAGGTATCATTTCCAGTCTGGAAATTCGATTTACCGCCTTGCATTATCGAAAATAGAGACATGCAAGAGGCTCTTCCTAGAGCAGAAGGTACAAGAGAGAGCATTGGAGATTGCTAGGGGGAGTTTAGATCACTACTATAAGATAATTCTTAAAAACTACACCGAGTTTGTGAAATGTTACTCGCAGCAGCATCGTAGTCACAATAACCTTCTGGTGAGTTTTGGGAGGGATATAGAGCAATTGAGATCTATAAAACTTGTTCCAGCATTGCTGACTGCTGATCACCAGTGCTTACTAGATTTTGTAAAGGTGGAGAACTTGTGGAGGATGTTGGAGGATTGCAGCAGTTCCCACAGGCACTTAGAAAACAAAGTTTCAGAATTCAAGACGGAGTTTGGAGAGCTAAAGCGCAATTTTGAACTTTTATTTTCATGTAAAGCTTCATTTCTTATTAATGAATTGGATTTAGCAATGAAAGACCACCAGAGGTATATCCATGAGCAGAAGAGCATAATGCTGGCTTTAAGGTAGCACTCTTTTTTTTCTTCAATTTTCTGTATTTATTTGTTTCAGTGTTGGTATTGTTTGTGTTATGGCTGCTTTCCCTTTTTGTTATCTCATTTGGAATATGTAGATTTGATGTTAGGCAAGGAGAAGAAATTGGTTGTAGTGCGCGCAAGTTGCCCGGACATCCACGGTTATCAAAAAAAAAGAAACTTTCATAGCATTTCTTAACTGCAATAGAGCATTTTTTTCAGTATCATCAATCACGTGTTGTCCAGGTTGTGATGATGAAGGGAATGATTTGCCTGTCTAGTAATCATTTTTTGTTTGCCTATTTGTAACCTACTGGCAGATGTATGCATAGCACGACTGTTATCCATGTCCGTTAACTCTGTTTTGACTTGGTTTTTTTTTTATTTTTTTTGACAAGGTCCAATGATGATTAATATTTCCTGCTTAAACAGTGACGACGACCGTACTAAATTAATATATTTTTGGGTATTTTTGCTCATGTAAGTTTTTAAATATGCTTACCTTTTGGGGAACAAATGACAGTTTTAACCAATATTCTGTTCTCACTTAAGTTAGGGTAAAGAAAAAGTGGCGCCGTTCTGTCCGGTGGATTTCAAGGGCTGCCTCTATTCTCTAGTTTGTCTTTTCTGTGTGTCGAAGCGGCTAAATTTGGATGATTGTGCAGAAGTAGACGGACATGCTTTAAATGTCAAGTTGGATCTCATATTGATGGTTTCATGTTAATTATGTTTTACCAATTGGGGAAGAAACCTGTAAAGAGAACGCAAATAACATTGGTGACATTTTAAGGCTGTGAAATTTGTATTCAGCTAATATGAAAATTGGTGAAGCCAAAGAATTTAAGTGTATTCTTGCACCTTCCACGAACACGAAGATGCACATACTCACTCACCCCAGATTTTGGAAGAAGAGGCTTTCTAGAAACTGATTATTATGCATAGGCTTTACTACATGTTTGATAAGTTTTTATATTAAAATTTGACTTGTTATAAGTTGTGGGTCCTACAGAATGTGTGGATGATAAGTGGATAGTAGTTGTGAGTCCTACGAAATATGTGGATAAAAAGTATATTTGACTGGAAGTTGATTAAATATTAATCACTTTGAAACTTGCTTGACCTGAACTGTGGGTTTTATTTTGAGGTAAAAATAATATAATACAGCTGTTTTGGGGTTTGCTGTAACCGCTACATGGCACTGGAAATTGACTTAAATGTCCCATTAACTTCATTCTTGGCTTTCAGTGATTGCTAATGTTACCTAGCTATTATAGAATCTGCGTTTTTGTGTCTGCTTTGGCTTTGATGAGATTTTTTTTTCTCCCTAACAAGTTCCCATTATCAAGGAAGAAAATGTTGAATGAATGCTCAAGTAAATAAAACTTTGTTGTTGTAGTTATTACACTTTAATTCTAAACTACCTGCTTGATTATCTAAGAAAAGCTACATCGACATTCATGGAGCATATCTCAAGAAACTTCATTGTTTTATTTCTCTTGTATACTTATCGTTAAAGCAGTTTTTTAGGTTTTTTTTTTCTACTGAATGCTGTCATTACTTATTTGTGGTTGGTTCTTTAGTGAGAAAACATCCAGAAGGCTTTATACTTTAGTTTTCAGAGATCTTTTTTTTGACATAAGAGTTTTAATAGAGTGATTGTGTATCTTACCTGTAGTTTAGAAGTCATCTGGATCATAGTTGTCAGTGGTGCTTTCCTAGGAGCACCCTCACCTATGTTTTGATTATTTGTAAATTTGATAATGCTGTAGACAGAAAAAGAGATAAAAATAGAAATGTGTGAAGAACTTGAAATTTGATCTCAAAGAGAAAGGTAAAAGAGGTTGGTGATATTGCCTAGGGGTAGTTGGCAACTATAATCTGAATGATTTGCTTTAGATCCCCCTAGGAATAAGTAGTTTAATTTTGGCGTATGGCGATCTTCGTTATTATGCCTTAAATCCGCTTGGCCTGAAGCCGTAAATTCTCTTGACGTTATTTGTAAATACATTGCTTATGCAATTTTTCATAGTTCAAATTCTTCAATGCATGTACTTCTTGCTGGTTAGGTGATTAGCATTTACTAAAGCCCTGTTTGATCCCCATTTTTCACATAAAATGAGTTTTGTAATAGTAATTTTTTGGAGAATGTGTGGTTAAAAATTAGGATAAGTTTTAGATTTATGTGCAAATTATTTTATTGGGAGAATGTGTGATCGAAAATGACTTTGGAGAAAAATGAATTTTAGGATAATGGGACTCAAACATAGGCTAAATAACGTTGTGTTCTTGCAGTAAAGACATAGATACTGTGAAGAAGCTCATGGATGACTGCGTTACCAGCCAGCTGTCATCTTCACTCCGTCCCTTTGATGCTGTTTCGGCCTTGGGTCCTATGTATGATTGCCACGAAAAAAGTTGCCTACCAAAAATGCAGTCTTGTGATCTAGCAATTTCAAATTTGCTGGATTTCTGCAGGGATAAAAAGGATGAAATAAATGCTTTTGTGCATGATTATTTGCAAAGGATTGCATACATTCAGTACTCCATTAAACAAGTGCATTATAAGTTTCCTGTTTTCAAGGAAGCTTTGAAGCGTCAAAATGATCAATTTGAGAGCTTAAAAGTGGTGCGTGGTATTGGTCCTGCTTACAGGGCTTGCCTTGTGGAAGTGGTGAGAAGAAAGGCGACGATGAAGCTTTACATGGGCATGGCTGGGCAATTAGCTGAAAGACTTGCCTCAAAGAGGGAGGCTGAAATTAGGAGACGCGAGAAATTTCTGGAAGTACATAGTAGATATATCCCTAGTGATATTTTAGCATCCATGGGACTGTATGACACTCCTAGCATGTGTAATGTTGATATAACTCCTTTCGACTCAAATTTGCTCGATATTGACCTTTCAGATGTAGACCGTTATGCTCCCGAGTCTCTTTTAGGACTCTCTTCCATGAGTGAGAAGCATGGGGCTTTGAAGAGTTCATTATCAATGTCTAATGACGGTTCTCAACCTGCGGAAGTTGAAGTAAGTTCTGTGAGATTCTATGAGAAGGATGACTCTGAGGAGTTACACCAGGATTCAGAGCTACTGGAGATTGCTGGGACTAGCAAGATGGAAGTTGAGAATGCAAAGCTGAAAGCTGAACTTGCTTCTAAAATATCTCTCATATGTACTATTAGCACTGAGTTTGATTATGAATCACCTGATGACAATCAAACCCATAGTTTGTTGAAAAATGCTGCTGAGAAGACCTCTGAAAACCACCTTGAATCGATGCTAAAGGTGAAGCAGATGCAGTGTGAATCCTATGAAAAACGCATTCAGGAGTTGGAGCAAAAGTTGTCTGATCAGTATCTGCAAGCACCTACGTTTTCAGCTGCTGAGCCTATATCTAACTTTGTGCCTTCAACTGTAAATACTGATGAGAATAAGTTAGAAATTTCAGGAGCTGGAGAAATTCACATACCTAATGCAATGCAAGATAAGTTGCAAGAAGGTTTGGGTGATAATATGATAGATCCCTTTAGTATGCTAAACCGTCGATTGAATTCATCAATGCTATATGCACAGCGTGGCGAAGGGCTTCCTTTTGACAATGATAAGAAAGAAACACTATTTCCAGTTGGTGGCACAGCACTTGCAGCGAGTTCTGTGGCTGTTAGCATGCTGCATCCTGCTGATGTTACATCCAGTGAAACTGCTCTTGAACCAGGTTTGGTTGCTAAAGCAAGCAATGAACTTGTTCTGGGATTGCAAAGTGCACTAGAAGAAAAATCGAACCAATTAAATAATGTGGAGATCAAGCTCAAAGCTTTGGTGGAGGAGGTTTCAAAACTCGAGAGAGAGTTGGAGAACAGTCGAAAGCTAGTTGATGAATCTCAGGTATAACTAACTGGAATCTAATTGATTATTCAGGCCTTGCATGCACGCTTCTTTCTATGAGATTGGGTCTATATATAGCAAATAGTGCTCTAGAAAAAATTTCCCCTACTTTTATAGTTTTAACATTTTTCCCCTAATTGTTTCTGTAGATATGTTGCACAAAAATTGCCACTATTGCCAGCATCCTTTTTCCACCAGAAATGGAATCATACCTGTCTAGCTTCTCAATTGGTTTGTTGACCAACAATAAACACATGATGAAAATTGATATTATAATTAATCTACCACAAGACAATATCATTAAATTATTACCAGCGAACCTTGTGATTTTTTTTGACCTACTAATTACATTCAATGGTCCTTCTAGCAAACACTGACAAGTCAAAAAGAGAACAGAAAATATAGAAGGGATAACGAATTAACAATTTGAATTTTCTGTGAGAAATAAATTGCATGGGACAAAGGTGAAGTTTTTAAAGCTCTCGGGTCTCTTTTTTCCTTGTGGCCTTTTGGTCTGGTTGAAAAGATTGCATTTTTCTTTTTCCAAGATGTAGCTTCAGGTGAAGGATAACATAGTGCTAAGTGCCCTTTAAAACGATGACAAAATCATGATCTACTTCAATGTAAGTGAGTGTTCCTTCAAGACGCGGCATCTAGAATTAATGCCTGTCCATCCGCAAGATAGGAGTTTCATGTTTTCATCGAAGTTCATAAGAAAAAGAAAAAACTTCACTTCGAGTAGAAGTTTTGGTTAGACGTCTTGATTAGGATGTGGAAGACCAGTATACAAAATTATGGATCATACTTGGTTGGGCGAAAACTTGAAGTAGTTTCTTGCACACAGTGAGCATATTTATCATTTGATGGAAACTTTGAATTTGAAGATTTTGTTGCCTTAAAAATGCTTCTGAGATTCTATAATTACATTTTTATCCTAACAAGAAAAATAATGAGGTCGTTTGCTTTTGTTTTGGCTTTTGCTGCACATTTAATATTTCCTACTTAAACTTAAAGAGAGAAGGTTGGATAATCTAGTAAATAGTCTCTCTTGTAGTGTCAATACATGGTATATAGTGCTTGTGGTTTACAAGTTGGACTTCTGTGGATAAGATCTTACAAATGCACAAGTTCATTCAAGATTTTCCATTTATTGCTTTGCAGATAAATATTGCTCATTTAGAAAATTATTTGCATGAAGCAAGAGAGGAAGCCCAATCCTATCTTCACGCGGCTGATTGTATGGCCTCAGAAGATAGTGCGCAGTACACCTCTGCCATTGAAGTGCATCGACTTTTTGAAAGACTGAAAAGTTGTGTTTCTTCAGCTGAGATGACCGGTTTTTCTGACGCTTTGCGTGCTTTAGCTCAATCTTTATCCAAGTAAATACTTGTGCTTTCTACCTTGCAGCAAATAATGACTCGTGATGCATGCTAGATTATATTTATATCTATTGCATTTAATATGTCAATCATATTATATAATTTTGTGCATAAGAGTTGAGACAAAAGTTACCATGTGATAAGATCATGTATGAATATTTCTTTGCTATGCTTAATGATCCTAAAGCTTCACTCGCTTCAGTTACACTAGCAGACTTAATTTTCCTTAATTCCAGTCTGCTATGGAATTTTTTGAACTGAGAGCCTCTTAAGGTATCAATTAAAAAATATTTATTTTACTCGGAAAAAAGTGGTATTAAAATTCAAGAATGTGGAACTCGGAAACTTAATCTACCATTTACCATTAATTAGCTCCCATAACCAGCATTAAGGATACAGGTAAAACATCAAATTTACATATAAATGTATTGGGTACAATTGAATCATTTTGGTTGAGAGAGACTGCACATGTGCACTGACCTCAAATATGGGGAGGCAAATTCCTGATTAAACGTCCAAATTTTGTTTCCCATATCCCTTCTATTTTTGCCAATCGATAATGAAATTGGTACAGACTATGATAATTTCCGTTCAATCATTTGAAAGATATGTTTTTTGTTTCATTTGTGCAATACAATACAACTTTTGACATGCTCCACAATTATTTATTCCATAAAGCTTCGGACTTTTTCGCATTTGCCATAAATTTTATAGTCGTATGGGGGAGGAGAGGTGGTGACAATATTAATTGAAGTTGATAGTTGATTGAGTTGCTTTGTTTTCTAACAGTTCCACCCACAAAAATGACTATGATATTACTGCTGAATTCCGTGAATGTATCCACATATTTGCCGAGAAAGTTGATGGTTTGGCGAGGCATCGCATTGAATTGCTCGATAGATCTGTAAAAGCCGAAGCTGAAATTGAACAGCTTAAGGAGGAGTTAGATGAGAAGACAGAGTTGGTGAATAATACTCTTTACGCGAAGCATCAACTTGAGAAGCAGGTAACATATATTTGGCCAGCTAAAATACAATTGCAAAAAATAAAAATTAAAAAATCTCCAAAGTAAAAAAGAGAAGCAAAAGAATTATTGCTTCCGGGTTTTTTACACTCGTTAGATTGACCCTAACGGTTTGTATGATGTTGTACATGCTTCACTGCTTAATATGTGATCATTCCACCTTTCATATTTGTTTCATTGTCTAATCGCCAAGAATAGAATTCTTAACGATTTTGTTACAGGTAAACAAAGAGAGGATATCTTTTGGTCGGTTAGAAGTTCGGGAGATTGCTGCATTTGTTCTCGACTCTGCTGGGCATTACAAGGCCATCAATCGTGACTGCCCTTATTTTTACCTGTCAGCTGAATCTGTGGCCTTGTTTGCTGACCATCTCCCGACTCGTCCAAGCTACATTGTTGGGCAGATTGTGCATATTGAACGACAGACAGTGAAGTCACCTTCATCCAACAGAGATCTACTGACCTCAGACACAGAAACCAGCCATTTGATTATGAGTTCAGAGTCAACTTCAAACCCTTATGGACTCCCGGTTGGGTGTGAATACTTCGTCATAACAGTAGCCATGTTGCCCTATACTACTGTAAATACGCCACCTCCTTCCTGATCTTGTTGCAGATGGAAGATAGACATGATGGAAGAAATAAAACCTACAATTGTTATACGAAGTGCTACTACAAATAAATGCTCGTTTGTGGGAGTTTGATTCGATTTCCTCTTGTAGTTAGGATTTTACTCGATCCAATCTCCCTTATGCATATAGATCTTGCATAAACGTGTCGAACTTGTGAATATTTTGTCCTTGGAGTCATTATGGAATAAAATTTTCTGGTTAAGGTGCTTTTCAATAGTTTAACATAGTTGATCATCATGTGCAATAGTCGCAAGTTAGTAAATAGGTTGCCATTACATGCAAGAGGTCGCAGCATAGAATTAAGAAAGTCGAAATCCAGGTGCTTGTTGCCAATATTGACCTATCATAATGCACTTGGTCGAGTGATTGAATACTACAGGACAACATTAAAAACTAAAAATGTTCAAGATTTTATTTGTTATAATATTCAGGGATCAAAACGTTGGGGACTATAGATATAATATATCGAGGAAACTACAATAGTTGAGTACGAGAGGGATACAATAATTCAAAATAAGACTCGACCGGTTAGGTTCGATTTTTTCATTTAATTGGATTGAATTTGGATTTGAAATCAAATTTTGGATCGAATTATGGATATATTAAAAATCCATCCAACTCCAATCAATCCAACTCAACCCAACAAAACACTACTGTTACCACTAATAAAAATATATAAAAAATTACAAAATTCAGATTAACATATTTTTTGAAGTCAAATGTTTCATTGACCACTGAACTTTATACTATGTCACTAGGATTGGCTCATAAATCAAAAACTGCAAACCTGACCCAACCCGACCCGACGGGTCCGATCGATTTAAAATAAAAAGGGATTGGATCGGATTTAAAACAAGTGGAAATTACACAAAATTTTAAAGTTTCAATTTCAAATATAAACTTTATTTATACAAAAATAAAATATTAATTAATCTCTATTTAAATTATAATTACACAATCCCTAAAAATCCCAAATCATTTATCACATTCATTCTCTCTCTATAGAACTCCCAAAATCGACCTCTGGCAGCCGGCGCCTTCCGGAGATAGGCTCTCAGCTCCGGCGTGTTGAAGCACATAATTGCGAACTTTGTATTGTTGTCGGATTTTACCCACGTGCTCACACTCATTTCCCCGAAATTGAAGATGGTTTTGGAGGATCCATCCCGACTCCGGCTGAGTTGGAACATTTACTTCAGTCAATTCCGGCAATCGTTGATGCAGCAGTGATTCCGTATGTATTCTCATACTTAAAGTTTGAATTGCTGGATTTGACATTAACAGTGCATGTATGCTAAGCCTAAAGGTTACTTTTGAGTAACTTGCCAAACATGCTTGAGATTTTCTAGAAGTTCTTTATTTATTTGGGATTTTAGTTCAATATTTTTATTTCTACGAATTTGAGCATGTTTGTTTGATTCATCTTCTACAGTTTTGCTACATAGCATATGAATTTGCAGTTTTGAGTTGAAAAACTAGAAGATTTAAAACATTTGTCCAAGATTGGATACGACTGGAGAGTCAAGTTTCTGTAGACTTCAAAATAATGGCAAACCCCATGAACATTCTAATACGGAAGTTCACGTGAATCGACCATTAGGAACTGGAACTTATGGCATTCAAATTTGAAAAAACCGTTAAAATCTAGTTTTGACATTTGATTGCAAGTGTAAGTTGTATGTCCTGCAGTCAGGGGCGGACCCAGCACCTGGCCAACTCTCGCGGCCGCCCGTGTTGGGTTCGCCAGGAGCTGGCAGTTGCAACAGTTCAGCCTTCGCCTTTCAGCGCCTGCTGCCCGTCCGTCGGGAAATTATGGAGAAGAAGGCCAGAAAAATTTGAAGAGAGAACTGTTGGGCAGTTTGGGCCTTTTTTTTAAAAAAAAAAAATAAGGCCCAAACCTAAATGAATGGGCCAAACAATTAGCCAACAAACCCCCCCTCCCCACACAAGTCCACCGCCCAGTCCGACAGTCCCAGTTCAAATGGACAAATGCAAAATTGAAATCGGTAGAGAGGAGCTGAGGAGGGAACGAACGACGACTGCGACTTTCAATTGGCCAATTGCAAAATTGAAATCGGTAGAGAGGAGCTGAGGAGGGAACGAACGACGACTGCGACTGCGAGTGTGCCTGCCCGACTGCGCCACTGCCTCTGACGGCCGATTGAAGAGACGGTGGTGGTCTGGACTCTGGTGGACGCCTGTGTCGGTGGTGACTTGTTGAACTGTAACTGGTAAGTCGGTAAGTGCTGTTTTCGATTTTTTCTTTGTTTATCTTTTTTTTTTCCCTTTTTTGTGAATTTGTGATTTATTATTGTGTGAGAGACTGAGACTATAAGTTGTTGAGTTATAATTTTGATCTGTGAATTGTGATTTGTGAAATGTGAACTGTGATTTCAGATTTGGGAAATTAGGTTTTCTAGAAATGTGAACTGTGATTTGGGAAATTATGTTTAATGGAGATTAGAGAAGATATTGAGCTCAATTAAACTATGTGTAAACCTTTTTTAAATCAATTTTAGGTTGTGTTGTGTATTTCTTTAGTATTTTGGGTTGTATTAAATTACGTTTTCATATATATATATAATTTTTACGTTTTAGTGCGTTTATATATGTATTGAGTAATTTTTAATATTATTTAATTTAATATTAATAAACAATCTCGTTCTTACGATTCCTGATTGTCGACGTTGACTAGTCAACGTCCTCCCGGGCTGAGCTTCAATGCTGGGTCCGCCACTGCCTGCAGTCGACAATTGTTTTTATCTAGCTTTGTTTTCTCTCTTTCTTGGCGTGTGTGGGGGAATTGACGGGGAGGGTGCTGTGGTCAATGAGAACTGAGAAGACTTGTTTTTTCTTATCTCTGTAAATTCCACCGCCGTGTTGTTGTGGTGGTGGTGGATATGTGGTGAGCAGTGGTGGTATGCTGTGGGCGTGGTGGTGGATTTGTGGTTTTATTGGTGGTTGGGTGGTGGGCGGTGGCGGCGGCGACAAAGATGATGGTAGGGTTGGGGATTTTTGTTGGGTTGTCGGGTAGGGGTGGTGGTGGTGGTGGTGGTGGTGGTGGGTGGGTGGGTAGCGGGGGTCGTGGTGATGTCGTTTTTAGATAATGGTTTGCTGCCGGGAGGTGATGGTGGTTTCGGTGACGGATTTGGTTTCCATGTTGTTGGTGGCAGTGGTGAGGTGGTAGTCACAAGTGTTGTTGCTCGTCACATATTATTTGGTTGTTTGTCACCATTAAATTAATCAATCTGTGACCGATAAATAATATTCAGTCAATGAAAAATACCTTCCCCAGGAGATGAACGAGCGACATTGGAAATAGTAGGTGTAAGTGCATGAGTAGAAGCAACGGAAGAATGCGTAGCCTGAGAGTATCTTCCACCCTTCCTCTCTGCCCTATTTGCTAAATACCAGTCTGGATAGCCATTTTTTTTGAAACATTTGTCAGCAATATGCCCTTTAAGGTGATAGAATGAGCAAGTTTCAGTAGACCGAATAGGAGCTCGTGATCGAGGATTGAACCCTTTTTTCCGCCAATGCAGGTGTCTCGGAATGGCTTTAGGCCCCCATGGTGAGTTGTCTCTGTTTCTCACAACGAACAATCGAGAACACCACTTCCAAGCTTGAAAGGGGTATAGTAGCCAAAACGCGACTAGGCACTTGATCCTAACCAGGATCAAGTCCCGATAGAAACATATAAATCCTGTCTTCAGCACACCTTTGCTTTAATGCCTCAACATCGACGGCACACTTCATAGGGTTAGGTTTTCGATAGTCAAGCTCCAAGAAAATAGAATTTATTTCAGTGTAGTACGTGACCGGAGGCCGCCCCTCTTGCCGCAACTGAAATGACTTTTTCATTAGTTCATAAACTTGTGATGAATTAGAGACATCAAGATAACTTCTCTTAACCGCATCCCACACATCTTTGACTGTGTCAAACTGAATAAAGTGGGCCACAAGAGCATCGGTAGACAAAGAGGGGACCCTTTCATACCTGCTAATAGAATTGATAAGCCAAGACTTAACGATAGCATCATCTGGCACCTATTCACCATAGCTACTATCATTTTCTTTAGGTACAGTTAGTTCACCAAAAATGTGAGCTCTTTTCTTTCGGCCAGTAATATGCATCTCAAGTAACTTTGACCACACACGATAGTTAGTACCATCTAACTTAATGTGAATCGGAGATGATGTCTCATGAATTAACAATGTAACCACCTTGTTATCCGCCATTATTTCGGGTTGTTAATGGATAATGTAATGTACCAAAACACACCACGTCCAGTAGGTATCCAGCAGAACTCAAAAACAAATAAACAAGTCACCTGGCATATATGAACGAATCAAGCAGAGAAGGCAGCCATGAAAGAAGCCAAAAAACGATGGAGAGGTCACGCGTGGGGCACAGAGGTCACGCTCCAAAAAATCACAACATTCAGGTAGAACCGACAGCAGCAAGGGTGTCAGAAGCATTGGTAAAAAATGGGAAAAAATCCAAGAAATCACTGCAAGAATCGGGGTAGCCCAGAATAGCCGTCGCGGAGAGGCAGTAGTGAAGAAGTCGTCGCGAGGAGCCGGAATCGGCTCCTAAGCGGCACGCCGGTGTCGCCGTTAAACAGGAACTGGTGGGGCTAGGGTTTGGTTCACTCGGCTCTGATACCAAGTCGAAAAGTTTGAGAAAGAACATGTCTATTGATTGATATTTTACCAACTATATGCGAGGATAGAAAAGGAAGTTTACATATTAGTCCCTGACATTTACAAAGATTACAAGTTGGTATATATTTCAATTGGTGGTGTGCTATTGTGCGGTACTAGTGGCTGTGGTAAATCTACCTTGTCTGCTTTACTGGTATTTTTTTTTATTATTTTATTTGTCATTGTTTCCTACTTTCTGTTATAACTGGATTCAGGATTCCAGAGTATGTGTTCATTGGTCTTCTTTCAATTCTTGTTCTTTTACTGATGTTTGGTCTGTCGGTTAAGCAATTATTGTCTCTTTTTAGCTGCCTTCCACATGTCAATTCGATAATCTCTTTTTAGCTCATATATAGCTAGCATGTGACTGAGTTCCTTTGTAAAATTGAACTTAACGAATCCAGACATGATAATATTTATATATTTTGCATTTCATCTTAAGCTGTAAGATTGAGTTTTCAGAATTTGGTAAAAATGTATTTGAAAGTCAATGGTTGTTTGTTGAAAGATGATATATACCTTCAGTGCTGTTGGATTAATGTTCTTGTTTGCCCCCAAAGTTTCTTCTTGTTACCAAAAATTAAAATCCATTAAAAGTTCTAGATCCTTAATTTATTTGTAAGTTAAGACTTAAGAGCTCCATCCACATTTCTGAATCTGTGGTTTACAACCTAAGAATCTGTTCAATGACATTTCTGATTTTGTAGCTCCCAATTAGTTAGTTTTTGCTGAATCACTAATATTGAACACTTATCATTTACCTAGTTTGGATACAAAGTCAAACAAGAAGTTCAAGGTGATGATGCATCATTTCCTTTTTCATCATCAAATTCAAACTCATTTATTTTACCATATTCCTATTCGTATGATTATTTCTAAACATGTGCGGGAGTAGCGCTTGTCAGTTATCATTTCCAATGATATGTTAATATGTCAATAACTTCCTCTTGTGTATATCATTATATTTTTACATTTCTAAGTAGTATGAGAAATTTGAAATTTTGTTGCCTAACTTTGGATAACTTTGGTACATGGAGCATGTTACCTAACCTCCAGCAATGGATATTAAACTTTATCTATTACCAGCCTGACAATGTTATGCATTAACAAAAACACATTCTCTTATACTTATTTCCTTTCTTGTTTGATTTTTGTTTATCCATTCATTCATTCTTTTTGAACTCAATTTCTGGTTTTATCTCGTCTCTGCCTATTCAAAATTGCTGTCTATTGGACTAGTTTAGGCTTTAAGCATCTAAATGGAAACCCAGAAAGCAACATTACTTGTAAACTCTTTTTTACAAATTAAGATATAAGACAGCTCGCCATTTGAGACTGGAGGAGGTTCTTTATGGCGGAAGCAGAGTTTTTTGTTAGCGCTTCGAGGCCGCGGCGGCCAATACTGATCTCCCAGTGTTGGATCGCCATGGCGGTGCTCCTTCTTTAAAGGTTGAATTTTTTATGCTGTTTTTTCAGGTCTAGGGTTTTTGTTTAGTTATGAATGGTTTTGAATCCAAATTTTATTTATTTATTTGGTTTTCTGTATGTTTTTTCTATGATGTGTAGTCATATGCTTGTTTTATTTGTATTTATCATTGCCGACTAGTATGTAAACTGTAAAGCTCTGATTTATTTCATTTTTGTGTTTATTTCTCTCCCTTTTAACTGAATCTTGTGTGTATTATTCTGTTGAATCAACATATTTAGACATACACACACATATTCATACTTGATACTTGTATCTTAAACTTGTTTTCATTTGTTATTTGTTTACAAACTATAAGTATCTCATTTTTTTTTAAATTATCATTTTTTAACTGTATTGTTGTGTTGTATTATTCTGCTGAATCAACTTCCATGTAGAGATGCAGACACACACACACACACACACATGTATGCGTATCCTTCGGGAATCGGGATCACAAAGAGAACAAAAAAATTGCATGACATTCAATATCCCTTCCAGACCAACCTTTGAAGTGAAATTCCCACTGGTTTTTGGTCATATTCCATCACTGGTAGAGCTATGAAACTAATGGGGAATTCTGTAAATGCATGGCCCCTCTTTATTACTGCAGCTTTAAATGTTCTGGGTTTATGACAGTAGCACCAAGATCTGCTGTTTTCTCAGTTGCCAGGAACATTTAAACGTTTAGATCTTTTATTTGTTATGAGCTCCGTTGAAATATATGAATTCATGCACGCCTATGTATTCACAATCTTGCTTCACTTGGTGATAGGAACCGCCTGTTTATTGATTATTCTCAACCTCCATAATGCTGTGTGGCTGTGCGACTTCCAAGTTCTGATTCAGGTTTTACAGTGACTGGAGTTAGCGTCTCTATAAGCACAGCAGATAAGGTAGGTACATTCGAGCTATTCTTGTTTATTTGAGTCGAAAATGGCCTTAAAACTCATAAAAACAGCCCTTCACGAAGCGGAAAATCCAATTGAGGTCTCCCTACGGGAATCCTTTCAGATTCTTGAACCCAAATTAAGACCCCCTTTTCCTTTAACAATCCCAACTCAAGAGGAGTACAATAACCTCAACAACGCAATTCTTTATGGCATTTTGTGTGAACCCCACTTGGCTAACGTTCATATTAAGCACTTACATGGCATAGTTACTGATGGGTATGGTTATTTCACGAGTATGCTCATCAAAATTGTGAATGAATTTTATGGAAAGCTCTTTGATTCTGTGAAGAGGCAGTTGATCTCAGTAGCTCATGAAACTGTGTACGTGTCGGCAGTGGGGTTTGATGAGTTGATGGTGGCCCTTTTGAGGCAGATTGTTGGGGGGGATACTAGTGAAGGGAATTTGTGGTTGTGTTTTGAGATGGTCACACTTTTTTTAAGCAAATGGGATTCTTTGTTAGAAGAGGAGCCTTCAGTTTTGACTTTTGCTTTGTATGTTTTTCTTCGGTTGTTAGCTGATCACTGTAGAGTATCAAATGTTGAAAAAATCGAATCATTGAAGCGGATTGAGATAGATTTTTGTGTTAGAATGTTGAGGGAGAAATTTTATTTATGTTTGAAGATTGGGAGGGATCTTCTTAGGCTTTTACAAGATTTGGTTCATATACCAGAGTTTTGTGCCATATGGAAAGACTTGTTGCTGAATCCGAGCTCATTTAGGACTGAGGGATTTGCTGATGTCACACAGATTTATAGTACAAGGACATCAAGTAGGTATTTTTTGCTTCGGATTACTCCTGAAATGGAATCTCAGTTGAGGTTCTTGCTTACTCATGTGAAGCTAGGGAGTCAGAAGCGGTACCAAGTTTGGTTTACAAAGAAGTTTCTGGCTACTCCAGAGAGGGAAACACTTCTGATTGACATAGTTAGGTTCATATGTTGTGCACACCACCCGCCTAATGAAATTATCCAATCAAATGTTATCCAGAGATGGGCTGTTATTGGTTGGCTTTTGAAATTCGGTAAAAAAACTTATGTTGAGGCAAATATGAAGCTTGCCTTGTTTTACGATTGGCTTTTCTTTGATGATAAAGTGGATAATATCATGAATCTTGAGCCAGCGATTTTGCTGATGGTGCATTCTATTCCTAGATACATGGAGATGACACATTCTCTTCTCGAATTTCTGTTTATATTGTTGGATAACTATGATCTTGATAGGAAGGCAATGGTGCTAAGGGGAATATCATCAGCTTTCCACATACTTGTTAGGAAAGGCGTGGTCCAATCGCTTGATGTTTTTGTTAGTTGTGATATGCTTTCTCCATTTCTCAAGGAAAGCCTTAGAAAGTTGTTACCGGATCTGCTGTTGAACTGTCCGTCTGAGCTTCAAAAGAACATCATCCTGCGTAGTAATACACCATCGTATTTGTCAAGCTTGAAATCCTGAACGTTGTCAAAAAATGAGTCGAAATAGTTGCATGAAGAAATTAAGGTAGATTAGAACCAAACATTTATGTATTACACTACTTGTTATGATTGATTATTAATCCCATGTTTGTTGTAGATTAAACCAGATTTTTAATAATAGATTTTGATAGAAGTTGGAGAAATTTGTTGTTGAAAAGTTGTTGATTATATAAAATGTGTGGTTAAAATTAATCAATGACTTTGATTTAGGATTAAAATCAAATTTTAATCTATACCAAGCATGTGCGAACTTAGTTGTTGCCTTTTGTCGATGTTGGTTTGCCAAATTAATTGTAGCCTGGTATAGTTCTTAAAATTTTGCGATTAATGGAGAATAAACATATGGGAATCGGGATTAGTTTGTTGTAGTAGCTCTTGTATGAATAGATTTTTTCGCCGTCGTGCACATGAGATGTGGATCTAAACCTGGGCTCGACCCGATCAAAAATTTCTTCGACCAGGACTGAACAAGACTAAAGAAGAACGTGTTTTTACACCCATTTTGATGGTTCATCAATGGAATGAGGTGATGCCAATTTTATTTAGAGTAGTCGAACCATTATGATTGTAATGTGATTTACTTCATTCATTATTTAATATGTGCATTAAAAATTGACATCATGAGCTAATAGAACCAAATGCAGCTAATAGAATCAATACTTTTGATGTTATCGAAAATTATTCAATATTTTTCTTCTGTCCCTCTCATACTCCACGGTGCAGCTAATGCGATCATTGTCTTTGATATTATCAATGACTATCTAATTATTTTTTCTTCTCACACACTCTCTCTCTCTCTCTCTCTCTCTCTCTCTCTCTCTCTCTCTCTCTCTCTCTCTCTCTCTCTCTCTCTCAATTCGAGATTTTCGATATACCAAATTAAACATGATTAAAAAAGAGACACATTTAGGGTTCGTTTGATTGGTAAATGAGGAAAGACTTTCCATTTTCATGTGCGTTGGAAAATAAAAATCTAGTACTCCACAGGAATGTATTTTTCATGAAATTGGCAAAAAACAAGCTTAAAGTGGTTGTACTTTGAAATTTGAACTACATTTCTACTTTTGTGTCAAACAGTCAAAGTAGATATTAAATTCATCGGATGTGACATTTTTTTATGAAATTTAAACCAATCAAATGGACCATAAGAAAAATTTATGTAAGTTGTCATGTCATACAGTGATTTTCTTCTCTATCTCTCGTCTTCTCTTTTCTAATTTCGTGACCCCAGATTAACTAGTAAACTGTGAAATTACTAATTTCAGTTTTGAATTAAATTCATTTATATCACGTTAAACTAAAAAAAAAAAATACAGAAAATAGAATTAATGAAGAAAAAATTAAAATTTTATTAATTATTGCATACAATTTATTTTAATTTTACGTATTAGAAAATGACTTCAGATGATACTAGGTTTGTCTCTATATTAACGTCAGCTGTATCTGAGTTTCTCACAAATAAATGTTGGCCTGCGAATCTGTGAGCGACGAATTATAGCAAACACAATATGTTGGTATATTATTTAAATGAAGGCTGGCTAGCTAGCTAATGGACAGACTTTATCTTAATTAAAATTAATTTTGACGTTTAAAAAATTCGTGGGTTTTTTAATGAGACTCTGTAACAATATTTTTCTGTACACCTGCGTCTATTTTTTTTCGGTCACATTCAATTTATTTTATAAAGAATTTTGATATTTGAATCATTATCTCCAATAATTGCTTTTAATCTAAAAATTTAAGGGTTCGTTTGATTGGTTTAAATTTCATGAAAAAATGTTACATTCAAGGAATTCAATTTCTACTTTGACTGTTTGATACGAAAGTGGAAGTTGAGTTCGAATTTCAAGATACAACCACTTTAAGTTTGTTTTTTGCCAATTTCATGAAACATGAATTCTTATGGGGCATTTGGATTTTTATTTTTCAACTCACATGGAATTGAAAAGTCTCTCCATCTTTGCCAATCAAACGGACCCTAAGTGTATACAATTCACGTCTCAACTTCGAGACTATTTACATACAAATACTTAAAAATGTAACATATATAACACATAAATCCAAGTTAGGACAAAGACGGTTTAAGCCGGCCATGCAATCTGCCGGCATACTCGCTAGTTCCATTTGCCAGCACTGCAAATTTTCATTTATTTTTCATCTCTTTTCCTCTTCATCGTCCTCTTTAAAAGCCCCTACATTGGAAGACTCAGTCATATTCTCAAGTTTCATTTTCTTCTTAAATTTGCAGTAATATATTTTCATGGCGAAGTTATCACATCAGAAACCTAAGAACAGTTCAAACAACGGTGATACCAGTGTAAACAATCATGGGATAAAACCGAAACGTACTAGGAAAACTATCCCGAGAGACTCTCCGCCTCAACGCAGTTCAATTTATCGAGGCGTCACAAGGTTAGTTTATCTACATTTCACATTACGCAAGGCTTATGTTGGCATAGGATCGACGCTTGCTAGAGTGCGACTGAAGCATGCATGGACATACCTGCAATTGTGACCGTTGCACTGCAAACTCGAGCGGCATACTCTAGTCCTTTGCCACATTGGTCACATAATAGTTCAATCAAGATCAAGCATTTCCTTTCATCACTTAAACTCTGTATGTGTGTAATTCCCAATTAATTAGAAAAAATGGGTTGCTGCAGGCATCGATGGACAGGGAGATATGAAGCACACTTGTGGGATAAGAATTGCTGGAATGAAACACAAAACAAGAAAGGGAGACAAGGTGAGAGAGTGTCAACATTAATCTTTATATCAATGCTTCTTTTTCATGACATTTTGGACGGAGTAGTTCAAATTTTGTCTATTCTACTTTGTAGTCAGGTCCAGTACTACGTGTTTAACATACCATTTAGACATGTTTACCACTCATTATTGAAGAAGCAAAAGCGGACAATTGACGAGACTTTTAACTTCTTTTTATTCTTTGATCATGTCGAGTTTCGTTTAGTCCAATCTCAAAGATGTCATTTGTGTTTTTAGCATTCGGAGAATTATATGAAACTAATTTTTTTTTTTTTTTTTTTTTTTTTCCCTTGATTGATTTTGATGCGGGAATCAGTATATCTTGGTAAGTACAAAAATGTCCCTTTTCTTAATTTTCCTTGACCAAATTTATTAATTTCTCATGAATTTATTTTGTTAAAAATGGTGCTTAAATAGGTGCCTATGACGATGAAGAAGCAGCTGCACATGCTTATGACTTGGCTGCACTTAAATATTGGGGTTCAGATACAATTCTTAATTTTCCGGTAATTTTTTTTTCTCATGAATATTGTAAAAATGATTATTTTTAAAAAAAAATTATTAACCTATGTCAAAATTCTTGATATGTATTTTTTACAATATATATATAGCTGCAAATGTATGAGAAAGAGCTGACAGAAATGGAGGGTCAGTCCAGAGAAGAATATATTGGATCATTAAGAAGGTAATAAATTAAATTTAATTAATGTTTAACTATTTATTGTAATTTAATTTTTTTAGATATAAAAACTGTTTGTTCTTTTTACAAAGTTTTTTATATTGTAATTGAAATAATTACAGGAAAAGCAGTGGCTTTTCAAGGGGAGTGTCCAAATATAGAGGAGTTGCAAGGTACAAAGTCATTACAATTATAGTTAACTAGCTTTTGTTTACATAAATTGAATTTTTTTGGACTTGAGAGTACATAATAAGTAATCTAAATGACATGAAAATTTTCAATAATTGTCGTGTTGTATCCAACGTACCAAACACATCATTCTCTGACATATAATCACTTAAACTAGGACAAAGCTATCAAACCATATTCTTTTGATACTTAGGATCGACTTCTACTTCTCGTAGAATAATTTCTTAAAAACTTTTCTAATCAGACAAAACAATCTAGAAAATTATGCACATATGTTCAAAAGAAATTTCTTAGACTCGTAAGTAACTTTTGTCTTCTTAAAAGTCCAGCCAAACTAGTCCTTAGTATTAAATAAAGTCAAAACACAATAATAAGCAAAATATGACATATTTCTCTTTCTTAACATCATCTAGAATGCATGTTAAGTAAATGCTAAAGTTTATTTGCAGGCATCATCACAATGGAAGATGGGAAGCTCGAATTGGCAGGGTCTTCGGCAATAAATACCTTTATCTTGGGACATACGGTAAAAAAATCTTTTCAAACCCTAATTGTTTCTTGCAATGCAAGTAACGAAATATAGCACTAATATACATTAATTAAATTTTTGCATTAATCAGTCTGTTGAAAACAACTATATCCCCCCACTGATGCTCAAATATCTATCAGTTTACGGTATCAGTGACGGATTTGGTTAGCTGCAAGATCTATAGCACTCAATTAGTAAGACAAGTTTACAAAACTCTAAAAGATATTGTGTTTTCTAAATCATTTCCTTAATTTTTTTTTAGCTACCCAAGAAGAGGCCGCGGTTGCATACGACATGGCAGCTATAGAATACCGAGGTCTTAACGCCGTTACAAATTTCGATCTTAGTCGTTACATCAAATGGTTAAGACCTAACAACACAACCAACAAGCCTAACGATAACACTAACCCTAACTCTAACCTTGATGCCGCCACTACTAATTCGACACCAAGATCAAACCACAACTCCAGCAGCTCAGTAACAGTCCACCACTTCCAACCACCATCAGACATCGCTCATGCCACCTCATCTCAATCCCGACCCACCACCACCACCTCTGCACTCGGGCTTCTGTTACAGTCATCCAAATTTAAGGAAATGATGGAGATGACCTTGGCAGCCGGGTCTCCCCCACCACCACCACCAGAGAAGGAGCAGGAGTTGTCACAGAGCAGCATCCCTGAAGATATAAACACATATTTTGATTCTAGGGATTTCTCTGCATACAATGATCAAGGGGATGATATATTTGGACAGCTCAACTCATTCATGCAGCCTATGGGTCAGTTTGACTCAATGCTTAATGGGGAAGATTTAATGATATGATTAGTCAACCATGAGAGCATGAAAAATAGAAGAGCCTTGCTATGGGTACATCACCCATTACACAAGGGGTGATGTACAAGTAGCACAATTCAATTTTGAAACCTTCAATACTTTGATTTACCAAAGTGAAGAAACTTCACTATAAAAGTAATTAGAGCTAATTCTTTTCTTTTTTTTTTTTTATTGTTGGTGCATTCCCTAAAATCATTATGTAAAACGAATTAAATACATGGCACACATATGATATGAAATAATTTTACATCGTTTTTTTGGTTGAAGCATCGCGAGATCAAGATGCACCCCGTGACCCTCTCAATCTTATTTAAGAGACCCGAGAGCTAAGGTAAAAATATATTTCGTTCTTCACCACTTTCAAATATGAAAAAATTATTCTTTATCGAGTTTTTGAATTTATATTACTGACTCAAGTATTGGAGTTCCAACGTCGATATTTATTTGTAATGCTTAGTTTTTAGAAAAATCGACGTTAGGAATGTTATGATTTGAAAATCATGTTTGGTAAATATATAAGTAAAGGAATGTTACGATTATATATTCTTAACCTTTCGCGTCTATTTAAGTCTCTGAATTTAGGTCACTAATTAGTTGATCGAAACCATCAACGTGGAAGTTAAAATCACATGCAACTTTCATGTGACTCAAAGCAANGTATTTCCTTTCGTTACTAAACATTATTGTTGCCTGTTGTATGTACTAATTTATTTTAGTTCGTGTTCTGAAGCATGATGAGTGTACTGTATAGAACTATAGATACACAGGCAACCATCTAATTATCTGCAAATTGGGAATTGCAGCCTTCTCCTTGTTAAGTGGTGTGAAGCCCACTTTTTAGATCATTTGATTGCTAGTTTGCTACTGTCAGCCGTTTCAGAACACAGATGAATAAACAAGATAAAAAAAAAAAAAAAATCTCATTTCTGCGCCGATAATGCCTCCTAAAATATATTTTAAGAAAGAATACAGATCACAGAATAGAACTGTTCTTTTATATCTCAACTCCTCCATGTCTCTCACATTCAAACCGTTCTCTAACTTATCCACTCATTTCTCTACTACATGGTTTTGAAACTGGAAGTTAACATGACAGCCTAAGTCTAACCCGTAACAATAGAAGCACATTATAGTCACCAGGTAATACTTATGACAAAGTGGACACTATTATTCATAGGAAACAACCAGTTTTGTAGTTAAGCAGCAGAATTTCATTTCAGAACTCAGATTATCAGTTTGAACTCTATCCCCCTCCCAAGCCCTGTGCACGCCATAACTTAATCCTCTTTTTTCCAACCTATACATTCAACAAATAATTTCATTTTAGCTAACCAATGAATCATCAAGTTTTATTTGTATACCCTGTTATCATGCCCCAACGTCCCAAAGTTGTGAATAAACCTTCTTTCTTTTCCCTTTACTCATTAAATAAGTAGTGATGCAACTTCATTATGATAAGCAAACTGCAAAAGCATGATTCAAGAGGCTCGGCCTATGGTTGATAATTTGATATCTGATTCACTGCCTTATGTATCAGCACTATAGCTTCCATAAAAACAATAAATGTCAGCAATGGCAGTCCTAACAACCAGATAAGAACCGTCTCAGATTTTTTGAAACGGCTCAATAGCCACTAGGCATAACCTCAGAACATATAATGCCATATTCATATTAGGATTAGCTGCGGAAAGATGCATATGCTCAAGATCACACTAATATTTATGCTGACTGGAACATACAAAATTCCTTAGAACTTAAGCTATGATTTGTGTCCCCAGACAAAATTAGATAATACAATTTAATAGTAAGTTACTATGTAAACATAGCCGATGCCAAGTCTCGTAGGATTCATTTTCAATACAGTTTACTGAATACAAAATCCAGAACAACACTTCTCTTCTCCAACAACATAATTTGATAGATATGCTAATTAATCCACAACAGAAGGTCTCGTCACAAAGCTAATAATTACCTAGTCTGCCAAATGAATTGCGAGGAAAAAAATCATCATTCATGACAATGGAGAATTGCAAATGTCACCTACATTATTGCTTGAGCCGAATGAATTGCGAGGAAAAAAATCATTAAACATGACAATGGAGAATTGCAAATGTCACCTGCATTATTGCTTGTTGGCAACATTCTCCAAGTACCATCTGTAGGTATCCATAAGCCCGTCCTTGAGCGCAATCTTCGGTTCCCAACCTAACCCGGCAAGCTTTGAGCTATCCATGAGCTTTCTTGGCGTGCCATCGGGCTTAGTCGAGTCCCAAACAATCACCCCTTCATATCCCACTACTTCCTTCACCAACTCCGCTAGCTCTTTTATGCTCACCTCCTTCCCGCTCCCCACATTCACATGCTCCAACCCACTATACTTCTCCATCAAAAACACCAGAGCATCCGCCAAATCATCCACGTGCAGAAACTCCCTTAACGGCTTCCCACTCCCCCACACCACCACTTTCTCCAAGTTCTTTACTTTCGCTTCGTGAAACCTGCGCAACAATGCGGGCAAAACGTGGGAATTCTCCGGGTGGAAGTTATCATTCGGCCCATATAAATTCGTGGGCATAGCTGAAATCGCATCAAACGAATGCTGAATACGATAAGCCTGGCACATTTTTATCCCGGATATCTTAGCAATGGCGTACCATTCATTAGTGGGCTCTAGTGGACCAGTTAAAAGGGAATTTTCCGAGATGGGCTGTGGGGCGAATTTCGGGTAGATACAGGAGGAGCCGAGAAAAAGGAGCTTTTTTGTGTCGTGTTTGAAGGCGGAGGTTATTACATTAGTCTGGATTTGGATGTTGATGGTGATGAAGTCGGCCGGGTATGTATTGTTGGCGTGGATCCCACCGACCTTGGCGGCGGCGAGGATGACGTAGAGGGGCTTGTTGGCGGTGAAGAATGCGTCGACAGCGGACTGAACTGTTAGATCGAGCTCGGAATGTGTGCGTAGGAGGAGGTTGGTGTAGCCCAGGGACTGAAGTTTGGTTACCAAGGCGTGGCCCACCAGACCACGATGACCGGCAACGAAAATTGGGGAGGATTTGTCTACAGAGATTGGATCCATGAGCTGTACCTTCGGCAAGTGGTCGGTTGCGGTGGCGCGTAGTAGTCGGGAAGATGGGGATACAGTTACGGGCCTTGCTATTTGTACACTAGCCTTGACAGTTGACAACTTGACACCCAGACTCCTCGTAAGAGGTCCTCACTATTTTTTTATTAGTGGTCAGTCCCCTCTTGTAAGGGATCTGCACGTTCGGGTGTCAAATTCGGTGTAGAAATAATGTTAAAATTGAATTTGTCGGTTTGTCTCCCATTATTTCAAAGAAAAATGTTATTCATCTTCAGTTGGGATGCATTCACAATCTATGTAGATGTAAATGATTGATTAAATGATAGATGAAATTAAATGACTTATTTAATTTCACCTATCATTTAACGCCATATTAACATTATTTGTTATAGTAAAATTCTCCACCACAAATTCATCCAATAAAATATTCTACACATAAATTAACAAAGTTACTTTAAATTTCAACCATACATTTTCCAAAAAATATTATTCATTACTCCATTTCTTCTACAATAATGAGAGACAACAATGGTCACCAAACACATGCCTAATTTTCAGCTGCATCTGCATAAGATTGGCCCATGAACTCAATAGGCTCTATATAAAGATGGGTTATAAGCCTGTGAATCGGTTAACTGTGGCTCGTAATCTTAATCAATTGGGCTTCTCCATTTCGTACGATTGGACATGTTAGGGGCATAAAGGATCAGAAATGACACCTCTTAGTTCAAAATTGTTTTTTTAGTATTTGAAAGTAGCCACGTGGAGCCAAGTCGGCTCAAGAGCCAAGACTTACGACTCGTGCATGACCCGTGCGAAAAATGGCTTCAGCTTTTTTGGTTCGGACTGAGCCAAGCGAAAGCTCCAATGAAAAATCAAGGCTTGGCTCGAGATTTAAGCTCAACCCTTACCGAGCTCAACCGACTCTTTTTTTTTTTAACTATAGTTGCCTTTTGTAGGCAGCCGCAATAGTTACCTGTAAATTCACAGGCTAAAAATGGTCGTGTCACGGGCCATTTTGGCCTGTTATACGAGTCAACCCGGTGTGGCTCGTCAAGCCACATGAACTGGCTCAAGCTCGAGTTGTTGCCCTGAAATGAGGCTCGACCCGAGCCAGCTCGAGTTTTTTTGGGGTCGAGTCGCGGATCATCATAGCCAATGAGTTGAATTGACATATCTATCTGAAATAATGTGTGCACCGAAGTCAAATTTACGAAAATCAAAAGATTTTTCAACCGTTGGATCCATGGTTGTGAACGAGAAATTCTTTGCCATGTATTATTGTTTAGAATGAATTAGACAAGATTAAAGAATATAAGTACATTATTGTTATGTCGGCACACAAATGCTTCATTTCAAGGTGAGTAGCAACTTGAATGTCACATCCCCTATCTTCGTGTCTGAGGTGTTATAAAATATTCTACACATAAACTAACAAAGTTACTTTAAATTTCAACCATACATTTTCCAAAAAATATTATTCATTACTCCATTTCTTTTACAATAATGATAGACAACAATGGTCACCAAACACATGCCTAATTTTCAGCTGCATCTGCATAAGACTGGCCCATGAACTCAATAGGCTCTATATAAAGATGGGTTATAAGCCTGTGAATCGGTTAACTGTGGCTCGTAATCTTAATCAATTGGGCTTCTCCATGTCGTACGATTGGACACGTTAGGGGCATAAAGGTTCAGAAATGACACCTCTTAATTCAAAATTGTTTTTTTAGTATTTGAGAGTAGCCATGTGGAGCCAAGTCGGCTCATGAGCCAAGACTTACGACTCTTGCATGACCCGTGCGAAAAATGGCTTCAGCTTTTTTGGTTCGGACTGAGCCAAGCCAAAGCTCCAATGAAAAATCAAGGCTTGGCTCGAGATTTAGGCTCAAACCTTACCGAG